AAATGTTTGTACCCTCATAATATCCTGAAATAAAAATAAAAAAAAATTGTGAAAAGATTAAATAAAAATTCAAAAAAGGAAAAAAAACTCGGGTGCTTTAAAAGGGGGCCTCTGATTATCTCTTATGTGTATCCTCAAAGTTTGGTTTGGAATAATCAGAAAAAGAATAGAATTCAGAACTCTACCTGGAACCAGATATGATTCGAGCTATAATACATTCCACAGGCCATTGAAGATTCCAAGGTGTTAGAATCGCCTCCAAACATTTCTGTAGCTCCTACAGTGCCTAACTCTGTATCAAGTCCATAGCAGGCTCAGCAAGTGATAACTAACTCTTACATTGCGCTTTCTACATTCAAGCACTTTACACAGAACACTTTACTTAGCCCTCACAATAATCCTATCATTATCATCTTCCTTTTATGGATGAAGGAAACCGAGGCACGGAGAAGTCAAGTTTCTTGCCCAAGGTCAGACAGCCACAGCCAGGATTGGCTTGAGCAGCCTGGGACCAGGGTGTGTTCCAAATCAAGATAGTACACTACCATCTAAGTGAATGTTCATTCCCCAGAAATATCTGTTTTGCCTATGGAGTGGATGCGGTGTGAGCTCTGATATAATCCATCTATTTACTTTCCTCCGTAGGCCAGCTGTGGTGAGGGATAGGAGAAGAGTGTGTTTGGAGCCCTGGGTTATTGGCCTCATCACCTTTATATCCCTGATTGTCTTGGCAGTGTGCATCGGACTCATTGTTCATTATGTGAGATACAGTAAGTATGAGCTGCTCTGGTGTCCTGTAATTTACTGCAAATATACTTCCTGCTGTACCTTCCTGTTTTGATTTGCTTCTGGCTTGTTTATTCATCACTGTGATTCATTTGCATAGCTGGTACAAAGAACTCTCTGTCTGCTTTGTCTCTTATTTAATCCTTATTTAATCTCTTATTTAATCTTATTTAATAAGCCAAGGAGGATTCTTTCTTCTGCCTTTGATGTTGCATTGCTTTCTGCTGGGAATAACAGCATGCTAGTTTTCATATTCATTAATAAGCAATAATCAAGTGGTAAATAGGAGAAAACCATAGGATAGCTAGAACCTAATGTCTTGAGTTGTTTGAGGTCACAGGGCAATCACCTTGATTTAAAATAATGCCAACTCATTGAAATCCTGACATTCCCATAAATCAATTCCACAATCGAGGATCACAGAGAACTAGGCTCTCTTCTGTATTAGTAAGTTGGAAAAATGCTCACGGTGACATATTATTGAATAAGTGCCTGTTTCTGTTATTTAAAGCTCATCTCTGGATACGTTGTCAGTGATTAAAGAGGATAGGATATGCTGAGGAGGTTAATTATAACAAGGTTCACTCTGAGGTTATCAGGTACTTCACTGCTGGATGAATTGCTAGTTGCTATGTTATTAGAAAGGTCTCCGGGGTACTTCAGGACTGTTCTTCTAGGGTATAACAAAGCTTCTGAAGTTTCCTTCTATGCTGCCTCCCTCTCTAATTAGTTAACTCAACTATGACCTGCTAGTTTAATATCTCCCTCTGTGACTAGATTATATTTTGATGTTCAAGGCCCTGTAACCGTAGAAACTAATCACTTGATTCTAATTTAATTGGGAGTTTGCTGGAGTTGTTTTCCTGTAAAGAGAAAGGATGATCCATAAACTGATTATCTTCCTCCACTATCCTTAAAAGTTCAATCCCAATTTCCGAAGCAAGGTGGATTATTCTTGGGTAGTTTGAAAAAAGCTATTTAAAGCAAAGATTTTTTTTTTTTTTTTTTGGGTAGAATTAGCTCACATGCTGGTCTTTAAATCTGAGGTATCTGCATTTTGATAACAGATTTTTCTGGAGTATGCTTTTAATAAAAAAGAATTGCTGAAATAACCTTACATTTATACAGTTGTTGAGTATATTGAGTCTCATTATGTTTTAAGCATCATTACAGCTGCCTAGGACTATGTTTTACTCAATTCTGTATTTCCAGAACTTAGCAGAATTCTGGCACCTATTAGGTTTTTGTTGTTGTTTACTAAAAGCTTTATTTGAGTTAAAGATAGAAAACAATATACTTTTGTGATTTATTATGCAAATTATGTCAATCTAAAATAGTTTACAGTAATTCCTTTTATGTATATTTCATATTTTCCTTTCCAACATTTTTATACATAAGGAATAAAGCTAATCATTTATGAAGTTTAACAATAATCAGAAGATATTTTCCAATGTTTATTGAATACTGGATGATATAAATGAATGAGTCATACTTATGATTATTGTCTTGGGGCATACTTTGGCTTGTCTGACTTCACAAGGAATTCCTAATATTGCTAGCGGTCTGATGATCTCAGTGAAAGAAAATGTTCCTGACTATTTTTCCTTTGCCTCTTCCCAAGCCAAGTTTTGTAAAGTTCATACATCTTACTCATATGTGTACAGTGAAAACCTGACAGGATTTTTCCAGTAACCCGTTCTTGGATCCTGTTGTGAGGACCAGTTGAGTAATACGGAACACACAACTTCTACTGCCTACACCGCACACCTGAACAAACAGCGATTGCTGTGATGTGTGTTTCCGTCTAATATTTGTGACCTGTCCTCTGTTTTGGGGAGGTAAGAAGCACATGAGCAATTAGGAGCCAGCATGCCAAAATAACCAAACAAATCTGTCACAGAGATAGATACAGATGAAGGTAATTGGATTTGGCCAAAACATCATTTTGACTCTCATTTCATAAAGCCTGGGATAGCACAGAATTCTATGTCGACACATAGGGCCTTGGGGCTGCATTTCTGCCCCTCTGTGATTTGGATGTCAGAAGGTGAATCTGGTATGAGCAACATCATTGCAGGTTATAGAATCACAAACCTGTTGGAAAATTATCAACAAACTCACATTCATCCTTATTTATTTTACTTTTCTGTTAGTATCTCCAATAATATTTTTCAATAACTATACATATTATATATTTCTGGCTGCTGGGAATATGTTTTAACACTTAGTGGCCTGTTTAAGTTTATAGAGCAAAGTAAAATATTGAGTATAAATCATAAGTTGTTAATCTGGTTGAGCTATATGAAATTGCCAATATTCGACCATTTTTGACCTATACTGATGGCAATTTCAAATGAATTGATATAATAATTTAAAAAACCAGAACTAAGGGTAGAAAAGTGTCTATTATCCTCCTCTCTAGAACTTTCCTAGTTACCATGTGATTAGATACCAACAGCATCAGCATCACCTGGGAACTTGTTAGAAAGGCAAAATCTGGGGTCCACATTGAGACCCAATGTAACAGAATCTACATTTGAACAGGCTCCCCAGGTCGTTCATTTGCACGTTAAATTTGAGAAGCGGCATTCTATAACAATGGATGCAACCATACAGAAAGTCATAGTTAACCATCAGATAGATGTTAAAAAATGCAAATGTAATAGAACAGTCATTTGCAAAGATGGTTATGAGTTAGTTTTCAATATTTCAATAAATTTAAAACCTTATTTGAAATGTTATATATTGCCAGGGTCCTGCCTGCATTTTATGTCACCCTGGCCGTTCAGGGCAAGGGAGGTGAGAAAAGATGGAAGCAGGGCAAAATCTTCCTAGTTCCTCACCTAGGTCCCTACTGCTCAGGTTACCCTTGAACTTTCAGTGTCTCCAGGCTGCCACCCATCTCTTTTATTCATCACCAGCCCCTCCCTAGGCCTTGTTAGAGTCTGACAGCAACTTTCCTCTTTTCCCACCAAATCCTCTGGCCTCTGGATGTCCAGGGTGCTCTTTTGAAATTTACCGGTAATTTTTTGCATACCTTTTATATAACAAAAGACTTCTCCTATAGCTTCAGTCAGTGGGCTTTGGTTTTGTGTGTGTGTGTGTGTTTTTTCCCCATCCCATGAAGCAATACATAAAAGAAGTCTGTGCTTTGGAAGTTAGGCCTTGGCTGGAAGCTCAACTCTCTTTTTTTGGGCTATGCCGTGTTGGGGTTAGCCAAGTTATTTACATTTCTGAGAATGTAGTTTGTTAAATGTGGATAATACTGCCTTCCCATAGGGCTCTTGTGATTTAAAGGAGTTATGTGAATATACCTGGGACGCTGGTGCTCAGTGTTAGTTTCCTTTTCTTCTGGGGTTTAGGTGAAGAGGGAAAGAATGAGAAGGTAGAGAGATTAAGATTGGATGAGCCACGCTCCATCTTCCTGTAATAACCGCGTACAACTGTCTTGATCACCAGTGTATTCCTAATGATTGGCGCAGTGTCACTGCCAGAAAAGTAGCGTTCATATCTGGTGAATGAATAAATGAATCTTCTGATGGCTCTGTTCTTGTTTCAAGAATAGGAGGGTAGAGGATAGAAGTACGTAGCATTAACTCTTCAGCAGGCCAAAACTGGGTTGCTTAAACTGAATGCAGAGAGTGGAGACGGTGGCTAAGGAGCAGACAAGCCAACCCCTGAGGTCGGTGGCAAAAAATAAACGCAGTAACAGGGAAGCCTGGTGAAACGACACAGTGTCCCTGGAATTTATGCCAGGTGGCAGATCTAGCTCCTGAAACTTCTACTTACTGAAGCCCTAGCATTTTAATTACTACCTTCATCTCCCTCCTTTGCCAAAATAAATTTTCTCATACTGGAATCCTAGTGGCCAGAATTGATGTGTAGTTGACTGAAGAGGGAAATCTACTTTTGTAATATAAAAATGCAGTCACCCTTGGGAAGCTTCTGAATCCATCCCTGTTTGTGCGCTCGGGTAGCGTGAGCTGCTATCCCTGTGGCTTATTCAGGAATGGATAACACGTGAGTAATCAGCCCACAGCTCCCCTGCAGCATTTGAGCAATGCTGCAGGAACACCAGGCATTTCTCATAGATTTTATACCCTAAATTACATGATGATGAATATTGTTATCCTTTATCTTGAGGTAACTATGAAGCCTGGGTCAGGATGATGAAGATGATGACCTGGGCTGGGAGTGTTCCTTCTTGTCTCGATATTTCTAGCAACCACCAAATAGAGAAATAATGATGCTTTACACATATCTGATAAAAATTATGATGAGATTTTTGTCCCTTTCCTTGTAGATCAAAGGAAGACCTATAATTACTATAGCACGTTGTCATTCACAAGTGACAAGCTGTATGCTGACTTTGGAAGAGAGGCTTCTAAAAATTTTACAGAAATGAGCCACAGACTTGAGTCAATGGTAAGCAATTTTCCCTCTACTTCCAGGACATTTGCTGTCACTTTTTACCATAGTTTTTAGTGTCCTAGCATCTAAAACATCCATCCAACTTATCCTTGTGTATCTTTGCAAAATGGAACGAGGCCCTATCTAAGGGATGTAAAACAAAACTGACAATACATGGCTTAGAAGAGTATGCCTTGCAAGGCTGAATGAAGGCACTTTAGCCATT